GAGCAACAAGAGTCTGCACAGTGGAAGTTACTCTGTTCAGTGTTTGTATATTCAGTAACTAGTACCCATTCCTTGCTGTGGGGTAGCATAGAGCCCCATGAGGAAGACAAAATTTGGAGAGATCCCTAGTGTCTCCTGGGTAAGTCCGAAGAGTGCTCCATTTGCATGAAGTGCCCCAGTGAGTACTCTTAAAGAGCCCCTCAGGTCCTTACCTTCTTTCCTTACTGTAGCTGACTATTCTGTATGCAGCAGACTCCAAATGCCTAACCTAGAGTCCAGATTCCCACATGAGAAGACAAGAACTCTCAAGTTAGATGTGCCTGAGTTTGAATCTAGGCTCCACTGCTTACTCATTGGATAGGATGAGTATTTCCAACAAGAAACTTAGCATTGCTTGTACAACAAGAAATTAGCATGTGGGTCAGAGTCCTTGTGTGGAGTGAAGTGCCCTGGAAGGTGCTCAGTATGTAGACAGGTCATGCTCAGTACTCCATGCTTATTAGACACGGTTTACCAGCTCTATCTGTTCACATTTCTCACCATAATGCAGTGTGGGAACTCATAAATTTTAAACTAGCTCTTGAGTTCAGGGAGTGCTCAAAGGACAATGAAGTGACACAGAGACCAAAACATGATGTTACTTGATATGCATGGCTACTTGAACCCTACATAGGATATTAGAGCAGGCTTACCAGTTTCCTGGAGCTACTATGGAAAATGTCATAAGCTGAATGGCTTAAAGCAACAAGAATGTATTCTCTCACAGTTCTGAAGGCTGGAAGTCCAGCACACAGGCTCAGCAAGACCTTGTTCTCTCCAGTCTTAAATAGAGAACCTTTCCTAAGTTCCTTCAGCTTCTTGTGGTAGCTGGCAAATGCTGACATTTCTTGGCTTGTGATAGAACCATTCCAATTTCTGCCCAACTCCACAAGTTCTCTCTGTCTATGTCTTGATATGCAGTTTTTTCTTCCTTTTCTCAACTAAAGAGGAATCACTTAGCATACACACTAATGTGATATTACCCTATCTTAACTTCCTTGTATCTACAAAGACCTTATTTCACACACCAAGTATAAGTATGTTGAGGACACAAACAGCACACTGTAAGGCCCAGAGGAAATAGTATGTCACGGCTGAGTAAATCAATAACCTGTAGCTTCAGAAAAATGTGCTTTTCTAACTCTAACCTATCTCCCATAAATGATGTGTTTATGTGTGAAAAACAATCTAATTTTAGTTGGCCTCTACATCGGGAGAGTTCAGATTCTTGCATGAACCTGGGGTTTAATGATTGCAGCAAAGACACATAGGATATGGAAATTGTACTTTTGGAAAGGAGGAGACTGTAAAGGAAGGAATATAATCAGAAACAGCAAAGGAGGAGTTTAGAATTGTGATTTTTCATTGAGAAATTCACGATCCTTTGTTCATATTTTCAAGCTAAAAGTCAGATAAATCTGTAGGAAAATACTTAAGAGAGACAATAAGAATGCTGATCTGAACATAAAATTTTTGAGGTGTAACCTAAGCTGTGACGAGGGAATCTTCAGTTATCAGACCACAGAGCCCTGGTATTCTCTCTTTTACTGAGTGGCAAACCTCCTCCTTTTTGGTTTTTCAGTACAGGGTTTCTCTGTGTAAATTTGGAGCCTCTCCTAGCACTTGCTCTGTAGACTAGGCTAGCCTTGAACTCATGGAGATAATCCTGCCTCTGCCTCCCAAGTTCTGGAATTAAACATACTTCTTAAGCATAGTTTGGTTTCATCTGAGTTTAGAGAACGCAGCACAGCACAGTACCTTCCAGGGCCTTCAAGGTTGTACTTGAATGCTCTTAAA